AGGATAGGGGTTAATTAACAATCAAAGAAACCAGACTTTCAAATTGAAAAACCCCCGGAATGATATTAAGGACGGCATTTGTTCCCTCTTGAAACGCCAAACATACCGCGTAGTGTGCAGCTGAATATACAATGGCGTCTTATTTTGCTTACAAGCGACAGATTCCTTTATTTTTGTATCGCTGCATTTGTCATCAAATTAAACCATGCGCGGGGTTTAGAGTGAGGCAATAGATTATACATTTAGCCTGACGGTAGTGAAGTAAGAGAAAGAACTCAAGAGAAGATGAAAACACAGGCACTGAAAAAGTGTGAGATGTCATGGGACATCGTCTGCTTGTGCAAATCATGTCCATACTGTGATCTCACACATCTCAGCAGCGTTCGGAGAGCTCTTCAGGTGCTATGCCGGGGCTGTATTTAAGCGTTTTGTAATTTATAATAATCATTACTTCGAATGTGTCCACGCATTGAATTTTGATAACCTTGTCGAATCAAAGCTTCAACTTTGCAATAATGAAAATAAAGTTAGTTTTTAAAATTAATGAATATCTACTTTAATACTATTATGACGTGCAGTAACAAATTGAAATTTCAGAACTCATGATAAATTCGTTTAACAGTTCATTCCACTTGGTTGATTCTATTGTTCGGGTTATTTAGCAGAACGAGATAGAAATTGACATTCTCATGGCTAACGTTTTTTGCGTTAGTAGTTGTTCATCGTCTCTACAATGCTATTTGAACAATATTTGGTGACAAAAGACGGCATTTCTATGTGGCGTCAAAAGCCGTCAAATAACAAAAAACATGGCACATAAAAAGATCCTCAGTACTGGGTCTGATTTAAAGGAAACTTAATTTGAACCGCCGGCCCATATTCTGTCTCTCTCTCTCTCTGTCGCTCTCGTTTGCCATTGCCTTCATTTTCCCTCGCTTACTTCATTCTTACCACGGAATATGTAATGTGTATACACGTGTATGCCTCAATCATTGGGAGTATACTCACTAATATCGCTGAAATGATTCTTCTCCTACCCCTTTTTCTTCATTTACTTCTTCTTAGTAGTTGTAGTTGTAGTAGTAGTAATAGCAGCAGTATCATAATAATCATTGTTATATTTATAATTATAGTAAATATCGTAATTATAATCATTATTATAGTAAGTAAGTGTTATTGTTATTATTCTTATAGTTATTTGTATGCTTCTTCTTCTTATCATTATTATCGTATACACAATACGTCATGTGCCAAGAATTTATTGCTATGATACATCCAAGATGTCTACCAAAACTGTCAATTCGTTGCTGAAATATTATCAAGCCAAAAGAAGGAACATTAGAATTTCTATTTTAAATTGAAATAAATTATATAGGAGAAATAAATAGAGAATACAATCATGATTTTGGAACTAGGGGATTAACATGGACATAATGCACTTGTTTACATGACCACATTATCTCTTATTCATTCTACCTCCAATTTTTCAGACTGTTTTCGAAACAATTTCATGTGTGTCGATCATAGCTCTATGTAGCTTGATGTCTCCTGGTAATTTAAACAATCTAAGCAACAATTTCTGAATTTTAGCGACAATCGTTCGCCTTTGCTGCTCTTTAATACTATTATGACGTGCAGTAACAAATTGAAATTTCAGAACTCATGATAAATTCGTTTAACAGTTGATTCCACTTAGTTGATTCTATTGTTCGGGTTATTTAGCAGACCGAAATATAAATTGACATTATCATGGCTTACGACTTTGCATTAGTGTTCAGCGTCTCTACAGTGCTATTTAAACAATATTTGGAGACAAAAGACGGCATTTCTATGTAGCGTCAAAAGCCGTCAGATAACATGGCAGATAAAAAGATCCTTAGTACTGGGTCTAATAATTTAAAGAACACTTAATTTGAACCCGGCCAAATTTCTCTCTCACTCGTTTGTCATTGCCTCCATTTTCCCTCGCTTACTTCATTCTTACCACGGAATATGTAATGTGTATATGTGTAGGCCTCATTATGTTAATTAGAAACAGAGGGGTCCACTAAAAAGCAATGCTTGTACAAGTGTGAACACCTCAAATGAAACTTAGGAATAATGAGTAATTAAATTAACTAATCTGTAACTACAAAAGAAACTACAAAATAGGGGAAAGAAAAAGGGGGATGTCAACAGAGACGAGAAAGGGACAAGACAATATTTTACACGACAAAGATAGAAGAACACAGATTATATTTGAAAATGAGCAGTAACAATAAATATACATAACAGTCTCGTCATTGCTGTTACAAAATGTCCAATGTTTATCAGCAACTATTTGGAATTTCAGCAATGAATCTTTTATGTGAAGTATTCTGTTTAAAATCATACACTGGAACCACCTCATCTTTAGAGAGAAAAGTTAACTGATAGGGAATCAGACAACACGAAAAACATGTTTTATCTTCTAGATGTCAACCCTGTTTCCGTTTTGTGAGGCTGTTACATTATTTCACATTGTGTTTTAAGAATGACTGGGAAGTATGAGAAAATCCTCTTTTTTTTCATGTTCAATATTAGAAGTAATGGTTGAGGTAAAATACACGTAGGTTCCATTAACTTTGGTCTGATACTCTTTTTAAAACCGACAGGAATAGAATTGCATAACCAATAATATTGAAGGAAATTTATTTGTAGGCCTAAATCAAATCTATGTTAAAATTCAAAGAAAGAGAGAATCGTACCATCCGTTTTAAAAATGTAATTGATAAAGAGTACTCCCTTCATATACCAAAAATTAAAATATATTGTATCATTATTTACTTTTTTACTGGGTTTATTCCAAAGAGGTTGACATGCAATAATATCTTTAGTGATTTCAATCAAATCTGAAAAGGCAAAACGCTCCTCTTTCCAAAAAGGAATAGGCGTGACAATGTCGAAATGTTTGTAATGTTTGTAATATTCGGATCCCATATATAATTGGAGAGAATATAACAGAGGCAAAAACGAAAGAAGCATATGATAAGTAAAGATTTCATCCAATGGGTCATTGATAAATCTTCTTATCCATGATATCTTAAGAGAATTTATATGTATGAAAATATCTGTCATTTTAACTCACCCATCCTTATACAAACGACACATTTGTTTTCTTCTATTTTTTAAGGTTTATTACCCCATATAAACGGGTAAAACCATCGATTTACCTCTCTTATAATGTGTGGGTTTGGTTCTGCAAGTGATAGAAACAGGTAGTTTAAAGGCACACTGTCCTTCTTGTAGCTACTTGCTCCCTCTATATAGACAACTTCCCCAATCGGTGCCTGTTGGCCGCCATGATCCTCTTTTTCTTATGTTAAATGAGATCTGAGTTAATGAGATAGCCATCTGTCACAGTGACCTCGCTGGCTCGATAGGTGGTCTAATCCATTCTAGCTGAAGTAGTAAAGTCTGCCTTTAATGTATAGGCGCATTTATACTGGCAAATACCGATTTAACAATGGTCACTCGTCCTAAGGGGGTCAATGATCTTTTCAACCTCGGGGCTATTTGACCTTTAATATCTTTGATTTTTTTTCCACAATAATTATGTTCAACCATCTGTGATAAATGACTCGAAAATGTTATACCTATACAATTAACCTTCAGATATCCAGTTCAGTTTGTATCCGTGTACAATTTCTGTTTTAAGAGACCTGTGCTTCCCGACCCATATAACTTGCATTTTTTCTTTTGTTGATTTTGAAATTAGACATTTTAAATCTTGTCTGGTACCATTGAATGCAAAGAGGAAGTCATATGTATATTGCAACAGTTTGAGTGTTTTCCCAGTCATACAATCCCAAATGATGGGGGCCACTTTCCGTTCGAGAAATTCCCATTTCCTATTCTCATGACTGACTTTTTTCATCCCTGGTGAGTGCCTCTTTATGAGGGTGTGTGCCCCATTTTCACCTCTGATAATTACTCTTTGTACTTTGGCACATGCTCCTTTTGTTTCCTGATAAGTGTCCCCTTTTCCTCTCATCATTAAACGCTAATTTCTAATTTCGAGCGACAAAGAGCAATTTCCCCCAAAGCTCGCTCGCTACGCTCGCACGCATCTATAGATGATATACTAATGTTACTTATCAAAGAGAAGCAATAACATCAACCTGTACACTTGCACCTGGGTATAATGCACAGCCATCATAATATGTCCTTTCTTTATGTCCTTCAACTTTAATCTATTTTATATAAATAAAAGTACATTTAGTGTTTACAAAAAGTACACAATGTTTTATTATACTATGCATAACAATATAAAAAGACTCCATGGGTGCATGCGATATGCATATCGTGCAATGATACAGCCTCTCGTTCTCGCGGCCGTCGTCCTCACCAAAGATGACTGACCGCCGCACGTCTATGGGCCGGTATTCTCTCTAATGGGCATTTATTACCCCCCCCCCCCCCTTTTTTTCCCCGGTCTGACACTGAGGGCTAGAAAAATACCCCTAAACGCGTATACAGGCGCGTACATCATAATGTGCAGGAACTATTCTGAAAAATTACCCTTTTTCTTGAAAATGGCCCAAAATGGACGTGTTTTAGCCCCATGATGAGATACCACACGGACCATGTCCAATCTTAAAAAAACACACCCCTTTTATATACACGCTATCTAGGTCACGCATGCCTTTATATTTAACCGAGACCCCCCGGGCCCTTTAGCGTGCTAAAGCATTGTCCATGCTAGTATATGGTCTACTAGCATCAATGGCGTCAAGCAGGATCGAGCCACGAATTGTATGATAACCGAAGATATCAACGCCTACATTTTTAGACATATCATGCTTGTATTGTAGGATTATGGTTTTTGAAAATTGTTGATAAAAATCCAGAAGGTGTGTCAACCAACAACAAAAAAGTACAGAAAGAGTGAAAATTTAGTAACGTCAAGCTAGCTACCATCGCAATTCTTAACAAATGAAGGTACTTTCCATGCCACAAGAAAATCAAGAGTTGTAACTTACCGATTAATGACTTCTAGCTTGCTTGGTACTTCATGTCTCTTAAACTGACGGTTTATTAAATCGTTTTTCTCCGTTCACAGAGCTTCGCAACAGTAGAGTACGGGATTACCGCTGATAGTTTTTATTTCGTAAATTCGTCGCCACCTTAACTTGTGAATCAATACAGAAACACTAATGAAGTATATATGTTGCCTTTTGTAAAGTGTGCAATTTACCCAGGAAATGATAGTTTGCAGCTCGCATTTGTCCCCCAAAACTACAGACCGTTCAGCACAGCATTCACAATATTATGAACTTTATACATTCTTAGTGTGCGCCCGTGGGTTATAGCCATGGGGTCAGGCGTTCCGCCAGGCTGGTTTACGACGCATTAATTATAGCATAAATTCGTAATTGAACAGACGTAGCTGGCATATGATGACACGATATCACCTTTAATATTTTCAATCACTTTAAAACTTCAGTTTATCGTTAAAAAAGGAAGAGGGAGGAGAGATGATTAAACATATTAGGAGGTATAAGGTAAAATAATGTCTGTCTCTCTCTTTTTTTGTTGTTGCAACTTTTCAAAAAGTTAAATATGGCTCAGATTGCAGGAAATGATAGTTTGCAGCTCGCATTTGTCCCCCAAAACTACAGACCGATCAGCACAGCATTCACAATATTATGAGCTTTATACATTCTTAGTGTGCGCTCGTGGGTTATAGCCATATGGGGTCAGGCGTTCCGCCAGGCTGGTTTACAACGCATTTGAGCATAAACTCGTAATTGAACAGACGTAGCTGGCATATGATGACACGATATCACCTATAATACTTTCAATCAAACTTCAGTTTATCGTTAAAAAAGGAAGAGGGAGGAGAGATGATTAAACCTATTAGGAGGTATAAGGTAAAGCAATGTCTGTCTCTCTCTATATTTTTTTTGGTGCAAATTTTCAAAAAGGTAAATATGGCTCAGATTGCAGTCAGTCAGACACAACGTCGGAAATCCGAGCACGTAAAATGAATATAGAGCCCTCATCGGTCAATGCGAGGCAATTTTTTTTTACAAAAAGGAATAATGAAAATCTTTAAATTCTTTGAATGATTCATCACATAATAGTATAGATATATTGACTGCAATGAGAGGCACGGCTGTTTCCATAGGCTGGAGGGAACATTGCATCCTGCTATGACCCCGCGAGGCGCGCCGAGGGGTCACGACAGGCTGTAACGTCCCCGAGAGCGGAGTATAGAAACAGCTATATGTCTCGAATATTACAGTAGTTCATATATCTTTTATATACCGAATTCACACAAAAAATCTACAAAGAAATTCTTACTTTATAACATTTTTATCCTATTCTTGAGTATAGAATGGTTAAAACATCACAACAAATCTGTGACACTGTCTACCTTCGCTGGAAAGTTGCCTGAATGTTACGATCATTCGGGAATCGCTCACACACTGCAATGTATGGTATCCGCTCGCACAAAGAAACTTTTTACACGTAAACCAATGGGTATTTCAGCAAAATTTAACTATGCGTCCCGTCATCCGTGGGCACGGGTATCTTTCTCAGAAGATTAGATTTATTCGACATATTAAAGAGAGGTATATCAAACTTTCTTTCTTACATTAATACGAAAAAGTGACTATACAGTGTGTCCCGAAAAAAACTATACACTTTTGAAATGGCTGCCGAATAACAAATATATGATTCTAGGGGAAAAGTTATATATGTATGGAAAGCTCATATACTCAACTTTCATATGACACCAAAACCTGCGAAAATAATTCATGCTCGGGTGAGCACTGCTCACTTTTGTAAAGGGTATGAAAATTAGGTTGCGCAGGAATTAGCCTTCCAATTTGTGAGGGTAAATCCTTTGGAGCTTACGGAATTTAGGATGATATGACCAATTTATGATCCATTGTGATGAGTTTGGGTTTGCTGAGTGAAATGTTTGGTTTATGGGATTAACATTTTATGCATGAGTGAACAGGAATTGCATTTTTTATTATAGCACTGTAACTTCCCTGGTAGACTTAGTGGTGTGTTCATGGGAATCAGGATGGGGTGATGGTTCGTGTTGTAATTTCCCTGTTACAAACTGTTATTCTCTTACATCTGTGACTTTGAATAAAAACCTTCACCCCACATTTCAATTATTGTAAGATTAGTTGAACATCGTATTGATTTACTCAATACCCAGGTAGGGATAATGTAAATTGAATATTCAAATACGGTTTGTTGAAAAAAGGAATGTCCAAGATGTCGGCTACTTATTCTTCAGGTAAATGGTAACTGAAATGTGGGGTGAAGGTTTTTATTCAAAGTCACAAATGTAAAAAATAAAAGTTTGTAACATGGAAATTACAACATGTACCATCACCCCATCCTGACTCTCATGAACACACCACTGAGTCTACCAGGAAAGTTACATGCTACAATAAAGAATGAAATTCCTGTTCCGTGCATAAAAGTTTGGTTTAATAAACCATGAAATTCACTCAGCAAATCATGAATGTATCATATCACCCTCAATGCTGTAAGCTCCAAAGGATTTACCTCTCACAAATTGAAAGGCTAATTCCTGCGCAACCTAATTTCCATACCCTTTACAAAAGCGAGCAGTGCTCACCCAAGCATGAATTATTTTCAAACTTGTTGGTATCATATGAAAGTTGAGTTTATGAGCTTTCTGTACATATAAAACTTTTCCCCCTAAAATCATAGATTTGTTATTCGGCAGCCATTTCAAAAGTGTATAGTTTTTTTCGGGACACACTGTATATATCCATATCAAATCTAGTTTGTAAATGGAAATACAAATGTATGGACGAAATAACCAGGAGAAAGGTACGAACAAAGATGGTGGACTCAAATATGATAATAACAAACATGGTATTGAGCACTTTTTAATTATATATTTATTGTTATTATTAATATTATCATTATTATTATTATTAATGTTTTTTTTTTGTTATATAGGGAGGCGCGATAGCTCAGTTGGTAGAGCAGTGGTCTCATAATCCGGCGGCCGCCCCGGTTCGAAACCAAGGCGATGCGCTAGTGCCCTTTGGCAAGGCATCCGGTCTACCGGATAGGACCTAAATTCGTCGGTCCTCTGGTTGCTTACTAACAAGCATTTATGCTTTCTTAGCAGTCAGGTAAAATATCCACCACTACACACTTCTTCGGCATCTGTCTGTCTCGAAAGACAATAGAATATTGCGCTATATAGTTGTACTAGTCAGTTTCTTGGTGTGCAGCTCCTGCTGTGACTGAACATGTAGCAGATTAAAGAGGATCTTTCTGCTGACTAGGTCAAAGGCCTTTGTAAGATCGATGAAGGCAATGTACAGTGGCTGTCTCTGCTCCCGGCTTTTCTCCTGCAGTTGTCGATCTGGAGAATATCATATCGATTGTTGATCTTCCAGCCCGAAAACCACACTGCGATTATGGGTACACACGGGCTGCAAGCGTTTGCAGTCTGCTCAGGATCACACGGGCAAACGTCTTCCCAACAGTGCTTAGGAGGGATATTCCACGATAGTTATTGCACTCACTGCGATCCCCTTTGTTCTTGTACAAGGTAATGATGGCGTAGAAGACCTGTGTCCTTTCCGACTTTGATTACGTCCGAGGGTATGCCATCTTTTCCTGGGGCCTTACCCGAGGAAAGGGAGTTCACAGCCTTTTTCAGCTCTTCTAAGGAGGGTTCACTATCAAGATCTTCCATGACAGGTAGGCTTTCAATACTCTCAATGGTAGCTTCATTGACCTCAATCTCCTGTGAGTACAGCTCTCGATAGTGCTCTAACCATCTTTCCATTTGAAGCTTTTTGTCTGTGATAACCTCCCCTGTGGATGCTTCGAGTTGTAATGTCTTCTTGATTGTTGGTCCGAAGACCTAATTTTTATGCCTGCGTACATACCCCGGGTGTTGCCGTTATCTGCAGCCAGTTGGATACTCTGGCAAAGGCTCAACCAGTAATCGTTGGCACAGCGTCTAGCAACCCGTTTGGCATCCATCCTTGCTGTTCGTAGAGCTGTGAGTGTCTCCACAGATGGATCGCTCTTGTAGTTAGCGAGTGCTGCTCGCTTTGCTTCGATGACAGGCTCCAATTCTGCGATTCCAGCTACAAACCAGCCTGGGTTTTGCTTTTCTCTTTTGCCATATATTTCCATGGCTGAGTGATGGATAGCATCGCGAATGTGATTCCATCTCTCTTCAGCACTAGTAGAAGGACAGTCCTGGAGGGCCTGTTCGATGGAATCGGCGAAGAGATCATGCAAGTCAGGATTCGATATCTTGGCAGTGTTTATGCGGGGGCGACCTTTCTGCTTTGAGCGATGTATTCGCCTGGGCTGAAGGCGCACCCTGCTGGCAATCAGTGAATGGTCTGTGTCACAATCAGCGCTGTGGTAACTACGGGTGACTTGGACGCTGTTTAAGGATGAATTTCGTGTAATAACAAGGTCAAGATGGTGCCAGTGATGAGACCTGGGATGTCTTCAGGATGCCTTGTGGCATGGTTTTGTGGAGAAGGACGTGTTCGTAATGCATAGGTCGTGATAGGAGCAGACTTCTAGCAATCTTTGACCATTTTCGTTCAGTTTTCCAATGCCGAAGTGTCCGATGCATTTGGGCCAGGAGTCATGATCCGTGCCCACCCGTGCATTGAAATCTCCTAGTAGGAATATGTTCTCGTTGGCAGGAATGTTCGCAATGACAGAGTCCAGGTGCTCGTAGAATTGATCCTTAGTCTCCACAGATCGAGCTGTAGAGGGTTGGTGCGTAACAGCTCAGGATGTTCACTGGACCTGAGGTGCGGTTTGCAGTCGAAGTGAGAGGATGCGTTCTGTGCCTCTGCTTGGTCGTTCAATTGAGGAGAGTAAGGAGTTCGATCCTTACTGCAAATCCAACACCATGCTGTCGCCTTTCCTGCGGTTCTCTGCCCTGCCAAAATATAGTGTAGTCTTCCTCTCTAATACTGCCATCTGAAGAGAGTCTTGTCTCTTGCAAAGCAGCAATGTCAATGTTGAGCTTCTTTAGCTCACGGTCGATGATCGCTGTTTTGCGGGTGTCATCAACCTCAAGTAGATTGTCTGTTGTGCCAGAACACATGGTCCTAACGTTCCAGCTTGCCAAACGCAAGACTGGTGTTTTCTTTGTATTTCGTTTATTGCTTGGTGCAGTAGTTTCAGTCCGCTTGTCGAGACAATCCTCTAAGCTCCAAGCACCCGATGAAGCAGGCGGCCTGTGGCGGGTCAGCACCTAATTAACTGGGGGCTGCCCAGCTTGAGGTGGGCGGTAGCTGAAAGTCACGGGAGCGCGAAGATCCCTCCCACCGTCGAAGGCAACCCGTAGCGCCCGTATACTACGCCAATCGGAAAGGGCTTATAACTCGTAACTGCTGCCTCCCGTGTTGTTTCTGCCACTTTTGACAGTAGCACTGAAGTGTCCTCTCCAGAGCGCAAGCCTGGGCTGGTTATATGGAGATACTGGGTAGCCCAATCGTCAGAATCCCCCTCTCGGCCTTACTGATGTGGTCCAAAGGAGAGCTGAACAATACATTTTGCACCACTACTATAGTGGTAAAGAGTACAGAGCGACTGAACACAACTTAGATTATAAAGAAATAGGCAAGCAAGGAGATACAGGAGTAACAGACGTATATACTAGAATAGATTATAAGAATATGAAGCGGATCCTAATCAAATGGTTGGTTGAAAGCGTCCACGTGAGCAAGCATTTATTTTGCCTAACACCTAATTTTACTAATGACCGGTCATTAGTAAAATCATTTTATAAAACAAATAAAACATCATTTTATAAACGAATAAGATATCATCTTATAAAACAAATGATACACATCATTTTGTGTTTGAAACAGTCCTAACACCCTTGGCTATCACCTCGGGCGTGTAAGACTGTTTCAAAGGTACTTTGTGTTGGTAATTTTTTTTTTTTTTTTACTAATGCCCTCATTGCCGTATATTATATGTTTACTAATGGATTCTCTTAGAAGGTGTTACAAACATAGTTTGTAAAATCATCTTTGAAAAAGATATCTTCATGTATATCACTATCTACAGATATTGTTTGCCTATGATAGTAATAATAGTGAAAATATTAACAACAACATTAACAAAAATAATGATATTAATAATAGCAACAACAATAATACAATGTAACAATAATTTTGTTGACCCTCAGGAAGTATCAAGGTTATTCTTCCTGACGGCTCTGCAGTTATACTTACCAAAGCAGTAGCCAGGTACCCATTGGATACACTTGGACGGAGATCGGCAAATGCCGATTAATGCCTTGTCAAAGGACGTGAGCTTACCAATATTCTGCCAAACCTACCACAGGTATCTTTTAATAGCACTGATACAGGATACCCCAAAAAACAACTACATTTTTGACATCATCTTTGACCTCAAAACTGCAGTCGTGGACACCTAACACTCCCGCACTCACACATTAGTGCGTGCAAACACACACGCACAAATATTAAATATTGTTGTCCCCTCTGCACTCCATTTCAATTTTTGTCTTTAGCAGTTTGACCGAAATGAAACGCAGTGCAGAAGATGTACATAACTTGTGCAATTATCAGGTACAGTCGAACCCATATATCAAAGCTACCGAAGGGGGAAACAGATGTTTAGGCAGATTCCTATCCCGAGCAATATACTGTCAATATCTTCAACGTTCATGACAAATTGAAGGAAGCAGAGGATTCCAATTTCGACGAATCGAGGAGGCTGACTGTCATATAATCTCGACTGACATATGGCTGAAAAAAAGGCAAGTAGTAATTCTTATCCCATCATTATCCTTATCATCCTCGCCATCGTGTCTAGCTATCAAAATCATTATCTTTATCATCATAACCACCACCACACCCATCATCACTACCATCATCACACTCGCCATCGTGTCCATCAAAATCATTATCTTTATCATCATAACCACCACCATACCCATCATCACTACCATCATCATCATCATGACCATCACCGACATCATCACTACCATCATCACACCACCAACGTCATCATCACACCGCCAACATCACCACTTTCGTTCGTCATCATCACCATCATCACAACACCACCATCACCGTCACTGGACGGTGTGTGCGCTCTTTAAGTCTACACAACATAATTATTATTACCATCACCATCATCGATATCGTTCATCATTACCATCATCACTCGACCAACATCATTACTATCGTTCGTCATCACCGTCCCTGGACGGCCGTGTGCGCTCTTTAAGTTAACACTTTTGTAATTATTATTATCATCACCATCATCACACCACCAACATCATCACTATCGTTCATTACCATCATCACATCACCAACATCATCACTATCGTTCATCATCACCATCATTACATCACATACATCATCACTATCGTTCATCATTACCATCATCACATCACCAACATCATCACCATCGTTCATCATCACCATCATCACTCGACCAACATCATAACTATCGTTCATCATTACCATCATTACATCACCAACATCATCACTATCGTTCATCATTACCATCATCACATCACCAACATCATCACCATCGTTCATCATCACCATCATTACATCACCAACATCATAACTATCGTTCATCATCATCATCATCACACCACCAACATCATCACTATCGTTCATCATCACCATCATTACATCACCAACATCATCACTATCGTTCATCATTACCATCATCACGCGACCAACATAACTATCGTTCATCATCACCATCATCACACTGCCATCATAATCAGACATCCAACATCATCACTATCGTTCATTATCGATATTCATTATTATCACCATCATCATTTATTGAGAGAATAAAACACCTTATAAATATAAAAATCATCACCATAAAATCATAACACAATGTGTTTATACGGTCCCACTCTTTAGGTACCCATAACATATTCCAAGAAATACGAAAAAAAACTGTCCGTTTAAGTTTCAGTTTCGGTTTCATTGTTAGCCTTCAAATTTTACATTTACACTCATTACATAAATCATAAAGAATCTCCCTGATAACAATCAGAATATACAAATTATTCTCTCATTAGGTATAAAAATATATACAATAATTTCTGGCCATGTCAGTAATGATAGTTTCGATACATCGAACGGAGATATAAATACAATTGCCTAGTATTTAAATTGAAATCAGACAAATGAAAACATATGAAGGAATGAAGTAGAAAGCTTGGTTTGCAAACTGTAGGTTGTCATCGTTAACTAAAAAAGAGCAAAATGAGAAAATGAAGTTAAAATAGTCTAGTTTTCTAGCTAATACCATATGTAGAGAAAATAACCTAAAAATATATCTTCAGCATGTGCACCTCGACCCCCTTGTTTTAAAGTAAATTTGTTTGTGCAAAATTTTGTTCTGTAGTAGGTTTTAAAAAAAAAATTAAAAAAAAAAAAAAAATCAAATTTATTCGCTTTCTTTTCTTGAATTACTTTATAGGTTTTTGCCCACAATTATATCATTTTCGCACAATTGCACCACGAATGTCAATTTTGACAGGCATGGGCCTTATAATATAGATGCAATATAGAAATGTAAAACAAAGACAACGTAGAAACAAATTTAGAGACAATGTAAAAACAAAACACCTATTACAAAAAAAGAGAGGAAGAAAAAGAAATATTGCATTTACAAAAAAGGACTACATAATAATTTAATGATCATGTGGTAATTTTTTTTTAAATAAATAAAACATAGGCAATTTATATCATTACCAAAGCTAATGATGTTAACTAATTCAGAATCCCGTAACGCAAACGTTTGCAGATCAATTGCAAATTATCAACAACGATTCTGATTGGTTGAAGGCAAGCCTTTTGAACAATATATATTATTGAAACGATGATCTTGATTGGTCGTTGCTATTTTGCGATTGAGTGCAACTGTCGTTATACGGGACCTAGGGCTCTGTTTCATAAAAATCGTTATCAATAACAACTGCCACATATCTATGACAAAACTGCTCACAGCCAATCAAATGCAAGGATTTCAGTAGCTTATAACAATTATTGTAATATATCAATGAAAACAAGTTTTATGAAACATGGCCCCGATCTAGAGCATATATAATGTATTAGATATGTCATTGCCCCGGACATCTATGCCAACTTGGATTCCATGGTAACTTCTGGATGTTTACAGATATGTTGGTGTAGAGGGGATGAAGCTCTATCGTTGGAGGTTCGTACCTCAAGTTGGATACTCCGTCCGTCGGCATCCGTTGTTTATAATACCTAAGGAGACAGAACCTGTATCAACAAACAAAAGAGAAGAAAACAGCATAACCTCCTACCCACTAGCGATCAGTTCAACCCAACGTAACTTACTTTTATATAAATACTTCGACATTTTTTTTCTTCATGTATTATACAAGATAAATACTCCTCGTGACAGTTTTGTCAACCGGTTTGGATGAGATGTATGCTGCCCATTATTATCAACATTCGAATACAATGCAATCTTTAGTCTGTGATGGTGTCAACGTAAACACCACTTAGTATAGAAGCCTCGAAGTAATATACACAATAGAATACAAATGATGCGTGTGAATGACTTAATTATACAATCTTTCCGCACTTTGGCGGTGTGTATTCATCTATTGTACTCAGCCTGACGGCTTCTTGCGATAGGTTTATAAACAGACTCAACGAAAGCCAGCAAATTATTATTTATTTTTCAATTTTTAAAAAAAGTGGAGGAATGATAAGAACCTGGCTTCATTAAACGCGCTGGACTCCTTTTTTCCATGAATGACTGTATCGAAGTATCCGATCTTGCCCTGCGGTCGTGTTCGTTTATGACCCTTGGATTGTACCCTGCCAGCGAAGTCGTCATCCTCGCCGCCCCACCCCCAGTAGACGTTTGATAGGCCGTTTATTGTGTAGAATTGTTGCTTGGTTATGCCTGTAACACCGCCGAAGAGATTCTCGTATATTATCCTGCATTGTATGGAAACGAGAGTGGGTGGTGGAATATCAAGAGAAAGGGAAACACACACACACACACGCGCACACACGCACATACAGACACAAAAATACATAGATAGAAGGGGAGTAGAGATTAAAACATTAATGAAAGAGAAAGAACACAGGAGTATTATTCAGTGGCATTTACCGTGTGATTGTAACGGAGAAAGAGAGAGAAATTATAGACGGAAAGTTAAGGGATGTTAAAGGGTAAAATTTACACAGTGATAAACTGCACAAAAGAGCCTTTGGCGACACTTTCATGTTTGTGCATTCAACTTGGTGACCTGTTGTTAAATTAGAATGCTCGGCTTCTTAATTTTAATTCCGAAAATCGTCTGAGGGAGACATTTGCAACAATCTGAATACAGGGATAGGGAATTTTGGTGACTAAAAAGGTAAAAATTGACCAGGTAAATCGTCGCTGCTTTCACGAAGTGACGGTAGTGAAAAAAAATTGCATTCACTTTGCGTTACGATTTTCCTCACTTCCGTCACTTCGTGAAAACAAGGACGAAATGTGTATTGCTATTATTATTCTTATTCTTTGTATTAGGAGTAGTATTATCATGATTGTTATCATTATTATTATTATTACTATTATTATTTCTTTAGATAGCATTTTCTTTATATTCTCAAAATCATTATCGCCAATATTGATATTACTATTGTATTATTATTGGAAGTAGCAGTGGTAATACTAGTAGATACGTAGAAGCAGAGGAAGTAGTAATAATATCAGTAGTAGCAGTCCTAGCAGTAGTAGTAGTAGTAGTAGTAGTAGTAGCAGTAGTAGGAGTAGTAGTAGTAATAATAATTGGTAGTATGCAACTTACTTCCAGCCCCACATAGCTTCACCAGATATAAAATGCCTAGGCATATTTTCACAGCCGAAATAGTTTTTGACGTTGAGGGCGAGGTGATCAATATCGTGGAAGACGACGCAGTCGAAGTTTGTGAAATTGAGGGCCTCGACGAAACCGACGTTCATCAGCATAGCTCGGTTGAATCGTATGTCGTTTCTCTGTTATAATTATGATAATCATAGAAATAACCATAAATTCAATGATGATGATATTGATGATGTGGATGATGATAATAACAATCATTAAAAAAAAAAATTAACAAAAATGATAATACTACTAGGCCTACTATTTATTAATATTAATAATAATAGTAATGATAATAAGGACAAAATAAAAGCATTATTAATTATAGTAATAATAACAAAATAACGAAAAAAAGTTAAATAATAATAATAATGATAATGATCGAAATTTTATTAATGATAATGAAGAAGAAAAATAATAATAATAAGTTTGTTGATAATAATCATAATACGAGTAATAATAATTGTACAAAGTATAATAATGATGATGGTGATAATAACCATAATCATGATCACAATAATATTAAAGATAATGATAATTATAATAATAATAACAGTCATAATCATAATAATCTTTAAATATAATAATGTTTACCTGCTCTGATATAAAGATGGAAAATTCAAGTTTTTGTCTTTTGAGTAAGGGCACAATGTGACGAAGGAATATCGGTAGGTGATCAAATCGATTCCTGAACGGTACCACAATGGCAACCTAAAAAAGAAAAAGGAAAGAGCAGAACAAATATCAATAATTAGAATGGATTACCATGGTTTTGTACTAAACGCTATTTTTTTGTTTGGCTCAACGGGGGAGGGGTTAGGGGGGTGAACACTCTTTTCCCCCTCAACATCCACCCACCCCCCTGGAGGGAGAAAAAATATACTTTTTTTTTGCTAGGGGGTTGGGGCCATAGAAAAAACACAGATAAAGGGTGCCTCTAAAATTCTAAAACACCCCCTATTGCAAAAGGGGGGGGGGGGGTGTTTGAAAACTTAAAACACCCCCTGTTTGCCAAGGAGGGAGGGGGTGTTTTAACACCCAAAACACCCCTAGATATGCCCTAGATAGCTATGACAAACAACCTCTTCAAAATACCCTTCAACATCCAACTTAGCTTCTTACACATTTATTATTATACATGTATTATGTGCACACGTGTTATAATTCTGTTTCGGATCATATTCGCCAACTTCTTTTGTTTTGTTTTGCCAATCCACCATTGTGTCAACTTTCAAGTACGTCTTTTCAACGCTTTATATTGCTCACACGAAGCGAAAGGCCGTCACAGAACAATATGTTTAGTCTTGTATACAATAAAAGCATATAGTTAAAGAGCTTCTTGAAGAAAGGAAACCCAAGTTTGTTTTGAAATTACTCTAGAATTCGTAATAATTTTTTCGATAATTAGTTCACATCATTGGAGAACTCCTTGTCCCTTCTTTCAGATGGCATCAAAACGATGATTAAGAAACCACACATGACCGATTTGAGACAGCCTGAGGTAAAAGTGTCAGAAACCCAATTGTCTAAAATATGCAAAGTACTACTACATTTCGTTCGTTATACGTCTTTACAGGGAAGAAAAAAATATGTAACTAAATAGATGCATTCGCGCGTGCAATGTCGCCCGTGTTTCTACGTGCAAACGAAAGAGCTTCTCACGGGCTATCCAGAGCAAAATAATATATATATACATTAACCAATGAGTAATTTTAAATCATCGAGTTATTTGCCCGTAAACTTGGGTTTTCATTTTCCAGAGACACCCTGTAAAAAATATCGTGTGCACGCGTGTTTTCATTTGAGAAAGCTTAATTAAAATAAAAAGTTTATTGTTTATATAGTATAATATTATAGAGATATCGCTTGCTTTGAGAGGCCTGCAGTCGATATGTCTTTTATATGCCGAATTAAAACAAAAAATATACGAAGAATTCTTACCTTATCCTTTTATTAAGTAAAGATTAATAAAAACATCACGGGAAATCTGAGAAATTGTCTGTTTATCTTCGCTTGGAAAATGACTGAAAGTTTCAATCATTTGGGAATCGCAGACAAAAAAACACTGTATGGTGTCCGCGCTCACACAAAGAAAAACTTTAACACGTAACACAATAGGGATCTGAGAACAATTGATTTATGCGGCCTGTTACCCGGGGCATCGGATATCACTCATAAACTATTGACATTTGTTCGTCTCTTTAAGGGAATATCCAAAATCACGACTGCAATTTCGACCAATCAGATGGCTAGATTTTTAAAGAGAGGTATATAATAAATAACTATAACATGTCTATACGATAGGGTAGCATTCAACGGGGATATTTACCTTCAAAAGCGATTTGCATGACAAGGGAATCCAATGACCACCGGGGAGAAGTCGGTAATCATCGAAGTCGACAGCAAGATTCATCTCGGAGATCGTCTGGTCAATGGAGCTAGCTGCTTCCTGGATTGACTTCCGCTTTACGATGATGCTTGGGAGGGATTTATTGGCGATGTCGGTCGCTTCTAGGGTTTTCTGCAATGAGTTGCCTAAGAGCTCAAAGTTGACCTTTTGAAGGGTCGTTGGATCCTTGCGTGGTGTAAGCTGTTCATCTTAGATAAAAAAAAAAAAAATCAGTAAGAGAGAGAGAGAGAGAGAGAGAGATAAGGGACAGGGGGATAGGGAGAGAAAGAGATCGAGAAGAAGGGTTAGAGAAGTTATGGAGATTAAAGAAAAAAAGACGAATAGGGGCAAAAGAGAGGAATAGGGGCCGGAGAGAGAAAGAGAGAGAGAGAGAGAGAAAGGGGAGAGAGGGGGAGAGGGAGACAGAGAAGGGTTAAGAGTTAGAAAAGAAGCACGTGGTAGAGAGAGAGGTGACAAGAGAAAGAGAAATAAGGAAAGGGAGAAATATGGGTGGGGAGAGAGACAGAGAGAAATAAGGATCAGAGAGAATAAGGATCAGAGAAGTAGAGAGAAAGAGGGAGAGGAGAGGGGTAAGGGGTGTGGGTAAGGGAGAGAAAGGGAGGTTGTAGGACGTTTACAAAGACAGTACAGTAATAATCCAAGCGGCTCGCGTGTTCGACCCGAGCCTAGTCACTCTGTAAACACGGTAATAGGAAACATTGGAAAGTCTCAGTAAATGAATCACACGTGATCGGGTGTAAATAACCCTTCTGTAAATCGATCATTCCAGCTTCGTGGTCGATCATTAAATACCAATACAAAATTGAAAAATGTTAAACATTAAAAATAAATAGGAAATAGGAGTGAGTTGTATAAAGTGAATAACAGACACTTACCTGGAAGATCCATCGAACCTGGACACGGACTCAAGGATACTGTTTTTTCCTTAACGTCGTGGGTCTTCGTGGGCTGTCGTAAGTCAGCACGTTTTTCTGCAAATAGTATACATGTGATGGATTTAGCCGTTTTGTACTGCTTTTACTTCGGGTTCTACGCCTTACAAGTGTTTTATTTTTAGTTTCCATTTGTCTTCAATCTTAATGTATACATGTGTATTTCACACCTTTTTACGGTTTTTGAGAAATATAAAAAATCAATAGAACAATTGAACCATATTAATGTAACACCGACACCGTTTAATAGTGCTAAAAACATGTATATAAGTTAAGTATATAAGTATATAGTATTACTTCTGAAACACACCGTGTCACCAAATTAAAATGTCAAAGTGATTAGAAATAATAATAGAATTACATATATTTGTGCATTTGTAATTTTAGATATTCTAAACAACCACAAACTATAGTGATTTTCGTATCTTACCGGGCACCCATTTAACACCTGGGTGGAGAGGGGGTAATGTAGATACGATGCCTTGCTTTAACGACGTAAGATATTATCCATGTTGATTGGCCATTTAATGTAGTAGCATGAACTGACAAGAAGACATGTCATCTTTTAAAGGATCATTTAAGGGAAGGTTTATAGATTTGAAGGTTATATAATTTTATTCTTTTACGAAGGTGCCAGATTTTTTATCCAAACGACCATGAATTTTGAAGGTTTGTAATTTCGAAAATGATAAAGGATTCGAAATTCTGAAAATGAAAATTCATGTAGGGCTCATAATTCTGAAAATATATAGAATGTCTATATCATTTTAGGAATTGCGAAGCTTTAGAAAAACGTACCTTTGAACCTTCGGAATCTGTTTCATTTGGCATATACTGAATTGTTCTCTTTCATTTTTGTGCAATCTACCATAATCCTGTTCTTTGGTTTAAATTGCTAATGCTTATATGTGATTTCATTTTCTCCTTCCCGGTCAAGTGCGTCATGAACTTTTGATTGCAAGTTTATTTGGTGCCTTACAAATCTTAAATATTTTGATTACAATTATTATCATTATTAATAATGAACCCTTGGAATTACGAGACTCTAGAATTAAGATTATTGTCAGGTCAGACTTCATTGGTCTGCTACTGGTAAGATGTAAACCAGTACTACCTGTTCCATAGTCGGGCAACCGGTGACTACCCCCCCCCCCCCCCACACACCCCACCGCCATCAGGCAACTCGTAAGGAGGGTGGCCAACAACCCAGTGGGAAGAAAAATAAGACCCATCAAAGGGCGGAGGAACTCATTGAGTCGACGGCCAGCTAGCTAGAGATGGTGTCTCGATAAAATCATCTTGGAAGGACCTGACCGCCCACCATCAACTTGGTCGAGTTTGTCATCATGAAAATACACCATAGACAAGCGCAAATAACGATAGTATTCAACGGTGAAGCCTGCCTGCAAGCTATAGGATACTTCAAATTCTACTGCGGCAGAGAGGAATGATGCACCAAGTACGTCTAGTTATACTGATGGAACAAGGCCGAACCCTGATCCATGAAGCCTTGTCCCTGATGCCTCTGGACTGGAACAGAGCAACATACCTCTACGGCGAGCTTTAAGTGTGGCAACTTGGAATGTTAAGAGGACTTACAACGGGAAAGCTGGAGGTGGTACTCAATGAAATGTTGAGATGTAATGTACCCATAGTGGGAGTAGCAGAGCACTGGTGGCTTGGCCAAGGACGGTTTTCATACAGATGGAGGTGAAACAGTGTACTATTCTGGAAGGGAATCTGGACGAAGACGTAGTGGTGTTGGATTTATCATCAATAAAGAGATGTCAAAGGCAGTGATGGGACACAACCCTGGCCCATCTCATGAACATCACAGTAGTTCAAGTACATGCCCCAACAACAGATGCTACTAGCTGAGAAAGAAATGGACATTTTTATGGATTCTTACAAGATACCCTGGACAGTATCTCGGGGAGGGATAACACAATGCTGATTGGAGACTGTGATACTCGCAATATTGGACACTTTGGTTTAGGTAAAGATGTGGAGGTTTGTGGAGTTTTTTTTTTACTGCAAATGACTTAGTCATTGGATATACCTTGTTTCAACATCACAAGAGGCAACTCTGGACCTGGAGAGTGTAGAATCCGATTATATCATGATTAAAAGAAGGTGGAGGACAACTTTACAGGATGTTAAGACAAGACCAAGTGCCGATTGTTGTAGTGACCACCGAATGTTGTCTGGTAAATTGAAAGTGAGACTCAAGTCCATGAAGATAGCTGATCAACCAGTCAGGTTTGATGTGATGAATATACCAGCACAGTTCACTACTGAGATGGTAACAGATCCTTGCACTTTCTAAAACTGGCAGAAGAAGATGTAAAGCCAGAAGTGCTGTGGGCAAGCTCATCAGATATACTGAAAAAGACTGCTTAGGAATACATACCACGGAAGAAAAGGCAAAAACAGGCATGGCTAACAACTAGTACAATGAACATTGCAAGTAAAAGAAGGCAAGCAAAGTCAGAAGAGAGACGGGAATGTACTGGACAAGCTGAATACAGAAAAAAAATATTGCCAGAAGGAAACTGCAGTTTTTTGGGTCATGTAGTAAAGAGAGATGGTCTTGGACAAGCTGGATACAGAGAAAACATATTGCCAGAAGGAAACTGCAGTTTTTTGGCCATGTAGTAAGGAGAGATGGTCTTGGAAAGTCACTTATAACAGGAACAGTGGAAGCAAGGGGAAGAAGAGGCAGACCTGCTATTTCCCGGTTGAAAGACATCCACATACGGACAGGGGAAAAGCTGTCAGAGGCAACGAGAGCAACAGCAGACAGAGAAGGGTGACGTAAACTTGTGATGGCCACAGCAGCGCAGCTAGCGCCACCTGACTGAAGAAGAAGAAGAAGAATAAGAACGTGTTTTCAGATTTATACACCCTCTTTCATTTTTGGGAAATTTCGAACCTTCTGTAATTGGAAGTTTGTCTTTCGGAAATATGAACCTTCGAAAAAAATGTGCCGCCCCGTGACTGATGCAAAACTTACCTATGTCATCTTTTAGATCATCCGCCTGTACCTGGTCTATTGTTTCATCTTGACCCTTCTCATTCGACGTCGAATTAGGTGACGTCACAATAGAAGCTGATGTATTGGAACTTATATTGTTTTTTTTATAATCTCTGTCATTCAGAGGTAATGTTTTTGTGCTGTTGTGCTCCAATATCTGTTCCGAATTGATTCTCGATCTGATGCGAGAGTTTATGGACAAAGCTAAGGATCAACCAAAGAAAGGTTATTGATGATATTATCATAACAACAACGTTAATAACAACAATGACATCATTAGTAAAAGTAGTAGTATCTTTAAAGGTATAGACCAGTTCTGGTCATGCGATTGCATTGTGAAAGAAACGTTGTGGAATTGATCAGAAAAGGTTGATCATCTAGCATATAAGTATTGGTGTGTACTGCAAGGTTCTGGAATCATCAAAATGATAAGAAATTTGGCCCAGTCTTGATAAAGTTGCGAGCACTGTACACAGAAAGATGTATATGGGACTACGCTATATCTATCTAGTCTGGATAGAAATAATAATTTACCAAACATATCAATTAGTTGGCGGTTTCCCGGCAAAATTGTATTATCACGTATTAGTCAAAACGTATTTTTTCACCTGATTGAGGCGTTTCCAAAACTGATGTATACCTTTAAAGATCTACTGAAAGGCAAAGTAGAAGGTACTATAATAAGAGGGAAACCAAGAATTAATTAGGAAGGGAACATTTAGACACGGAGTAGAATGACAATACAAGAGTGTAGGGTGGCAGAGGATAGAGATATTGTGTGGTTAAAAAAAAGTGCAATTGACCTTCCGAGCGGGGAGACGAATATATACTGGATACATTTTTATGCAATGAATATATTCATGATTAGTTTATATACCGATGGTACAGTTGGTACATGATACACAGAGGGAACATTAAGACACGGAGTAGAATGACAATGCAAGAGCGTAAAGCAGGGCTCCCACTTAACCGAGTTGGAGCCTTGAGTTGTGGCGAGCTGGGGCGAGCTTATGGCAAGCCGTTTTATCATTAAAACATATTTCTTGATATCAAGAAATATTTTTACGTTGTAAAGCAATGGTAATTCTTGATACCAAGAATTCGATTTCGTGATATCAAGAATTTGATTTCGTGATATCAAGAATTTGATTTCGTGATATCAAGAATTGGATTCTTGATATAAGGAAATATGTTTTAATGATAAAACGGCTAGCCATAAGCTCGCGCCAGATCGCCACAACTCGAGGCTCCTACTCTGTTAAGTGGGAGCCCTGCTTTAGGTGGCAGAGAATGGAAATATTGAGTGGTTAAAAAAAAAGTGCAATTGACCTTCCGAGCGGGGAGACGAATATATACTGGATACATTTTTATGCAATGAATATATTCATGATTAGTTTATGTACCGACGGTACAGTTGGTACATGATACACAGAGGGAATATAGAAAACAAATTGTTTTTAGCCCCTTCATCACTTTGGCAGTGATTATTATACAAATAATACACAGCACTAAGGGCATTAGTAAGAATTACCCACACAAGGTACCATTAGAACAGTCTAACACACCTGAGGCGTTAGCCGAGGGTGTACGGACTGTGGGTAATTTTACTAATGCCCGAACAAAATGGTTTGTATTATTTGTTTTATAAGATGATGTTTTATTTGTTTTATAAAATGATGTTTTACAACATGATTTTACTAATGACTGGTCATTATCCAATTCTAATGACCGGTCATTATCCAAATTACGCGTTAGGGCGGTTAGGCAATATAAATACCTGGTCACGTGTACGCTTACAACCAATCATTTTATTAGGATCCACGCCATCACCGTATAATCTACAATATGCACACAGTGGGACTTGTACGTGTGTTCATGTGCTATCTAAGAACACTCAGTGGTCTATTGGGAACTTACCTGGCGGTTTGAATGGCTGTGTTCCGGAATAGTCGATGTAGACTGACATAAATGCTAAGAGCGCCACACAACACAAGCAGAAGATGAGAACCATCGCGAAGGCGTTTCGGCACGTCCGCATCGACATTGTGAAGGAATCTGGGAGATTAAAGTTTAAGTTGAGCACTGGTCAAGAATAATATTGATAACAAAAATAATAATTTTGACAACGATAATACCGATAATAATAACGATAATAATGATAATGATAATAATGATAATAATTTTCATCAGAATGTTAACAATATCCATGACAATAATTATTCTAGTAATGATACTAACAACAACAACAACTACAACAATAGTAATAGTAATACTAAAAATAATAATAATTATAAAAAAAGTAATGACCGTTTCTTATTAAAGGGACTTTAATAGTAAAATTGTTCAGATGAGAGATAATTGTGCTAAGGTAGTGATTTTAATGCTAGATGTACAATTAAAGATAATCTGTAAGTTTGAGTGAAAACGGACCATTATTAGTGATAACAAATTGGGGAAAATGATCTGATCGCTTCGTTAATTCTCCCAACTATATAATTACAATTTAATTACATTTTAGGCAAATGTAAATCGTCACAAAGCAATGAATCGGCTCCATATACCATTCCAGACATTTAAGTGTTAATAGATTTTTTTTATTTTTTTATGTTTCATGAACAAACGGTTGGGAAAATTCAAAAATGGTTGGAAGAATTTACTGTTAATCACTGTAAAAGGTCGCTGCACAGTGATGTATTCAAAGAAAACCATAAGTATCTCAACATCTTTGTGGTTTGAGAATTTTATCAGGATTTTGTGTCTGTTAGAAGCAGGGGCGGATCCAGCCGGCGGCAAGAGGGGGGGGGGGGGCGCCAAATCTTGAGAAAATATTTAGCGGCGAATCAGCCAGCCGGCGATCGAGCGGGGGGGGGGGGGGGGGGGGGGGGTTAAGAGCACATATATATATTTTTGTTGGGGGATCCAGTTTGGGGGGATTTTTTTTTTGCGCCGAGTCAGCCAGGGGGGGGGGGGGATGCTGGAGAAGAGGACCACTAATTTTTTTTTCGGGGAGGGGAGGTGAAGCGCCATTTTTACATGACTTTCTTTTTAACTCTCACTTTTACCTTTCCCAGATAACCCTAAGTTTTTTGTTGGTGTTTTCTATGTAGTTGAGAATGCGTGATTACAATAAATAGAGAGAGAGAGAGAGAGAACCACCATCATTATGCAATGGTTCAGGGTTTGTGTAAGGTAATTTTGAAACCATTTCTTAGCATCTCAACCCTAACAAAAAAGCGAAACTATTTATTGAGGAAAAGCATTATACTGAACTGAATAAAGAATAATAACTTTATATTGGCTCATACAATACTGATACGGGCTATAGACAATGTGGTATCGGCACAGTAACATCGGGTATTTTTATAGAGGTATTCCAAAATGACATTCTGATAATCAACATTTTGTTCTGTATTCATAATATACGCATAATACAACTGATCTTTATGATTTCTTAACGTGACATAGCTTCTTCTCCCAATGCGAACAAAAAGGAAAACAAGGTTATTTAATAAAAGGATCATGTGACAAATAATCATTGGGATTCGAATTCATGCAAAGATATTTTGAATAAGCAATGGTTTTCACCAGCATCTTCTTTGTAAAAACGACTTTTACAAATCTCAGCCGTGCAATTCTGCCACTGTGCTGTAAGATCACTTTCAGATTATTCTTTAAAGAGTACTTTAAATTGAATGGAACGTCTCAACTCAGTAAGCATGGCTGAGATTTGTAAAAGTTGTTTTTACAAAGAAGATTCTGGTGAACAGCAGTGCTTATTCAAACAAATTATTTCTCGTTTGCAAGGGGAGAAGAAGCTATGTCACGTTAAAGACATCATAGAGCTCAGTGTTTTATGCGTATATATTATATACATACAGTAGGCCCCGCGAAACGTTCATCAAAGTGGGGGGGCTAAAGTATATATTTACGATCAAGTAGAGGGTAGCGAGCGTAAATTGGTGTGGGGTTTAGGGGGCGGAGCCCCTTAAGCTCAGAAGTTTTACGCATTCAATGACGGTTAGAGAAACACAAATATTTTGATACCGCATTTGTGTCACTGGCAGGTCACATTATTTCTGTTGAATGACGTAAATCATGGTCTGAAGCAATATTTAATTCAAATGAGACACTTGCTAAAGACTAACAAATTTAATGTTGACCATCTATTTTCATAAGTACATTTTATAGGTGAAAATAAAATTTCTGTTTGAAATATAATTTGAAATATAAGCGACTACCGTATCATCTCTTCCTCTAACATATGGCAGATTTGTTTTGTAGAGCAATATATACATGTATAAGCAAGTGTCGCTGAAATCTGCGTTATTGCATTCTGGACTCACCAAATAACCAAATTTCACGCACGAATTTTGCAAAAGCACCGAGTAATTGCGTCCCGTAGGACGCAACAAAAATTCTCAGGTTGGTATCCAGAAGTTGGAGAAGAATCAATTTCAATGATTTACACATCTATCCAATCTGTCCATATGATTTGCACATTAGGGACTTGCACGAAGACATTGTGGATTGCTACGGTCGACGTCCTTTTAATGCACTGCCTTAAATGGACGTCACACGTATCAGGCCACGCTAATCTAAAAGTCCCAAACGACAATGTGGATTGCTACGATCGACGTCCTTTTAATGCACTGCCTTGAATGGACGTCACACGTATTAGTCAACGCAAATCTAAAAGTCCCTATTAACGACCCATCTGTGACACGGGGCGGATCCAGCCGCTAAAAATATTTAGCGGCGAACCAGCCAGCCGGCGAACGGCGAATTAGCGGGGGGTGGGGGGGGGGGGGGTTTGGGGTAGGGGGAATGTTAATTTTTTTGTAATTTTTTTTTTTTTTGGGGGGGGGGAGGGGTCAGAACGGCCGCTTAAAAAAAAAAATTAAAGGTAAAATTTATGTTACTATCTTATTTTTTACCGGTTGGGAGGCAAGGGGGGGGGGCGGGCAGGTAAAATCGGCCCTTGGATCCGCGCCTGGATATAGAACTGAATGTTCTTTAGCATTACATCGTTTTATCATTATTATTTGTTCATTGTCTCTACAATGCTATTTGAATAACTGGTTGACATATACTACACCGTGGTACTATTTTTTATGTAGCGTCATATATATATAGCAATTAAAATAGCAGATGAAAAAAATAGTCACCAATACTGCACTACTTGTAGCTACTTGCGCCCTCTATACAACAAACAATGCCTAATCGGTGACCATTGGTCCCCCATGATGCTCTTTTTCTTATGTTAACTGAGAGCTGAGTTGATGAGATAACCACCTGTCCAGTGACCTTGCAGGGCGGTCTAATCCCTCCTGTAAACTATGACACATAAGCTTTAATAATTGGGAAAAAACTAAATTTGAACCCGTACCATTACTCTTAATCTATCTCTCTCTCTCTCTCTCTCTTAATTGCCTTCCTTTTCAAAGACGATTAGCCTAAATCAAAATTCAGTGTTTACATGCTCGTGTGATCATAATTCATTGTTTGCTCAGATGATGGGATCATGTTGATTTTTTTAAATTACATTAGGAGTCCCAATCTGTTTAGAATCGTGGGTAAACAGTAACATAAGGGAGTTTACAGATAGCACATGGTACAAAATTATTAATGACCCCAAATATCCACACATGGAGAAGTTCCACTTTGAGCATATTATAATAATAACTGCCAAAGTCCTAGATGTGCTTCATGAATACCTTTTGTTTGCCCTCTTGAAAAGAATACTTCCACCTGCGTATCATAGAATGTACCGTTGGTGCATAAATGTTACATAACTTTCATGAGCGCATATCCAGTATTCATCTCTGTGGGTTTTACCTTTTTGGTACAAATGACCTTTATCTGCCCATGCGCAGATTGTATATGTAAACTCCCTTATTCTTTAATACCATAAGGGCTAGTGCTATACTGTCTTCCTATTTTGCATGTAGAAAGATATTGACCAAAAAAATTCCTAAAATAGAAACGAATGTGCCAAAATGCTTACTTCATTATGTTAATTAGGGTCAAAGGTCAAGGTATGGTATCTCAATAATCAGAACAAAATAAGAGGTTCATTTCGTTAAAAAACGTCAAATTACGAAAATATTGTTTGAATATGTTAATGAGGGTCAAAGGTCAAACATTTTTAATGGTTTAGTATCTCACTAACAGTACAGGATACGCAATTGAAATTTGGTCAACTTGTTAATTGAACAAGATACATAGATCATATGATAAAATGATACTTATGAACGAAAACGCTCCCTTTTTCATGTAAATAAGGGTCAAAGGTCATATTGGTTGAATCTCTATGCCATGATGAGTAATGCTCCGAATCTAAAACTTGACATACAGATAGCACATGACTGGAGGAGCATTGCATAAAATATTATGAAATCGTGAAAATGCATTCTTCATTTTGTAAATTTGGATACGTATTTAATACGTATGTAATTTGCCTAATTCGTCTAAGTGACGAATTCAAGTCTAGTTTGTTATCATTATTCTTCTTATTATTATGACATCATTATTATTATTCTTATTTGTTATAATGATGACATGGACCCCCTCCCCCTCATTTTCAAAAATACTGGTTGGAAACTAGGATTCAAATTAGGATTACTAGATGGATACAATAAGCCATTTTCGTAATGTAACCAAATTTAATACATAAGTCTTTGTGAATTGCCTCAATACAAATTATTTCATTCACCTGATAAGAATAATAGTATTTCAATAGACAGAATCCGAACTGCATACATTAGTTGTTGCCAGGTTGGACAAACATTATGGCTTGACCTACCTAGCAACACTATAATGTATGCAGTTGCATTCTGACTAATGAAAAACTATTATTCCTATATCAGGTTAATGAAATAATTGGTATTGAGGCACTTCACAATGACTTATGCATTAAATTTGGTTACATTACGAAAATGGCCTATTGTGAGAAATACATGTGGTACTGGTATTGATGTAGTCAGTATTGTATTTTGTATAAAATATCGTGGACTTGCTCATAATATATTCATATATCCATACATCGCTCGTGATGTTGAAGCCGCTGTCATGGTCACCAAGTAATTAATTGCTAGCTAGGTGCTTTTCATAACGGCTGAACGGACAGGGCACGAAACCGCCATCAGTACAAGTTCACCGACATGCCATTGAGACAAGGGTTAAATTTAATACACGCATTTCATTAATTTGGTACGTGAGGCCTACAGTTGCCATTCAATCACAAAGAATATATACTGTACATTATTCACAAAGGATATATACTGAACATTATTCACAAAGGATATATACTGAACATTATTCACAAACTGGATATATACTGAACATTATTCACAAAGGATATATACTGAACATTATTCACAAAGGATATATACTGAACATTATTCACAAAGGATATATACTGAACATTATTCTAAATTGGAAGCATTAAAATAAACACTAGATTGTTATGATTGTGTGGGTCATTCTGAATGGAATGGTTATGCGTTGCAATTACACTATTGATCGAAACAAGGAAACACTTCGATCTTGGGTATATGTTTTAAAGGGGAAGTCTGTGCCAAATTCGGTTGAACACTGAGAGAAATAGATCAGTTAAAGCAAGAGGAAATACAGAAAACATTGTTATGAATGACTAATGTTGTAATTAGTCAAAGGCAAATTGACATCTTTCAGTATTAATGCCTTTCCTGCTTATTAAAGGAAACCGAACCTCAAGAAACAAGTTTAGTTATTCTGAGAGATCTGTTTTTGTTTGCTCTGTTCTTTTTGATTGTCTGCATCTATTAAAAGCCACTTATTTTTTTGGAGCGGACTTAGCCTTTAAATTATAGGCCAGTTTCGTAATGTAACCACATTTAATGCATAAGGCTTTGTGAAGTGCCTCAATAACAATATTTTCATTCACATGATAGGAATAATCGTATTTCAATAGTCAGAATAAAAACTGCATACATTAAAGGTAAAGACCAGTTATGGTCATGCGATTGCATTTTGAAAGAAACGTTGTGGAATCGATCAGAAAAGGTTGATCATCTAGCATCTAGCATCTGCAAGGTTCTGGAATCATCAAAATGATAAGAAATTTGGCCCATTCTTCGTAAAGTTACAAGCACTATACACAGAAAGATGTAAATGGGACTACCCTATATCTCTCACAGACCATGAGAGAAACAAATTTACCAAATATATGAATTAGTAGGCGGTTTCCCGGCAAATTTTTTATCATCATGTATTAGTCAAAACATATTCTTTCACATGATTGGTAATGAGAGCTTCCATTTCATTTTTTGAAATTGGGGCGTTTCCAATACTGGTCTTTACCTTTAAGTGTTGCTAGGTAGGTCAAGCCATAATGTTTGTCCGACCTGGTAACAAAATATAGGATCCTGTCTATCGAAATACTTTTATTCTTATCAGTTGAATGAAATTATTTGTATTGAGGTGTTTTTTAGGGTACGCGTATGCATGTTCCTCCCTTTTAAAACACCCCCTAAGTCCGGTGTATAAAGTCAATACGGTCCGATTTTGTGTGTATTACGAGCTAGACTTTGTTGCGTGAAAATGTACCGGAGATTTGGGGAACATGAATGCGGCCCCTCCGTTCCCGGAGTGGGGTGGGGGAGGGGGAGGGGGGGGGGGGGCTCTTCACAAAGACTTATATGCATTGAATCTGGTTACATCACGAAAATGGCCCATTCAGTATGTCAGCTTTCATTCGCTTGAGAGGATTTTCGACAATTAACCTTAGAACTTTATCAAAAGAAGGAAAATCCTTTTGATCCAGATGAACATTCCGTAGTTCCTTATAATCGCTCACTACTAAACACAATATAGGCCTACGTTATAAGAGTGATACAGAAAGTGGCATTACGTAAGTGTCTCTGAAAGACCTCGAAACAGAAGAAAATACAAAAGAAGTTTCAAAGAAGTTACAAACGCGTTAGTTGTGTATCGGGAAAAAAAATCATACAGGAACAGGAAATCAATCTCATTAACTCAACGCCCTTCAATGCTAGTCTGCAAGCACAAACCCTGGTCAGTCGTAAAAGTGAGTCTGCACTATAAGACTACCATAGGCCAATGTGTGTGTGTGTGTATTTTGGTTTTTACAGACGTGTATCAATCAGATATGATTATTTACGTCTGGGGACCGACCTTTAACGTCACCATCCGAAAGACGTGACTCAGTTTCGAACCTGCGTCCTCGGCTGAATCAGTTTGTAACTTCCACTGTTAGCTGGATTACAGGCGCACGCCACAACGCCTAGTTATAGCCAAGTAGGTAGCTGGGCTAGACTTCTCTCAAGGCACAATGATTTTTTTTAAGTGTCAAATTAGGGTCTGTGCCTGCAGACTACTTCAATGCTACGAAATAGACGGAATGTACGTGTGCTTCACTCAGGTCTGGATACTGTTTTCATGATCATACATATATTTCTCGATAACGGCAACTGTCTATAGTGGATATTTCTTGTCCCCCTAGAGAAACAAATACATGACTTTGTAAAATTGTTGAAACTCTAAGAAAGGCTAGCTGCCGACAGTGGCCTCTTTAAAGGCTAGCTGTCGACAGTGGCCTCTTTTTCTGTTTTCCACGGCCGGGCGGGCGACCTTTAATATTAGACGTGTTTGATTTGCCGGATATAAACGTATGATTTACCATGTATACTGTATTGTATAACTTATTATTATTATTGTTATGGACATGAAAATGAACACACATTACATTCTTAAATTGCAATTCAATTAAATTCATGAGAGTCGATAAAACCGTTTCTCAATGTACTCTTACCTTAAATGATCTCCACGTAATCCCAAAATCATGTGATATAGCAGCTCGATTGAAAGGTGACTATTATATAAAAAAAAAAAACGTAGAACGTATTTTTGGCTCCTTTTGTCAAACCATCGCGTTAAATATGAATCGTCTGCTCATTTTGATCAGTAAAATGGTCCATCATACGCTTAAAATGTAGGTTTGCGTGTCCATGTTCAGCGTTTCCTCGAAGGTAGAACGTGAAAGGTTTACTAATACTTCTAGTAGTTACGCGTCGGCGAACACCAACGTCGAAGCTAATTAGCTATCGACCTATTCAATCCATTTTTTGTAATTATATATTCCCTGAAAATGTGAAGGCAACCGTGTATTCAGCAAAATGATATTGCACCGCATATCCATGTAACGCTGCTAACGGTATTCCATGCAATAGATGCGGGTACGTATACACGGTAAACTGCTCGTAAGACCCCAGTCTGACTAGCCGAATCGATAACAGACCGACCAAAAATTACGTTGCGCGGAAAGCCATTAATTGGTCGTTTCGGAGATAATGCGGAGTCAGTTTAGCGGTGGGGCTCGTCCCGCATAAGCATGGCTAGATTATAAGAACAGGAAGTACAATAATAGCGTTTTATCTCCGGTCTAGAAAGGGTTAAAATTGCTAGTCTTTTAAAAAGGCTTTGGAAAATTTATGAAAGTGAAATAGCCGCTCTAGAAATGGTCTTCGGGGCTCAAGCAGCCCCAATTTCTTTTATCCAAACCGGCCATCAATATTTCTCTCGATTGAAAATGAATTCAAGCGAGGCACACGTTAGTTATGACGAGTTTAGGAATATTATCGTGACAAACAAGATTTTCTCTATGTTTCCTTTCTTTATTTTCTCTCCCATATTAGAAGATTAATGGGAGATATGATGTTAACTTAAGGATAAAATAACATTGAAATTCTTATATTGGATAGTCTTATAACGAATGAGTGCATACAATTCAATGTAGTTTAGACATTAACTCTTAAGGTGCCAAGGAGATTGGTGGTCTATGGGCATTGTGTGAATTATTTGGTACATATTTGCACCTCTGGCGCTGCAAGAGTTAAGGCATTACGGCAAAAAGCAAATTTGTCATTTTCAAGTAATCAAATGTAAGCCCTTGTGAATTGCATCGATACGAATAATAGGCCTACATGTTACGAATAATTGTATTTCAATAGTCAGAATGTGGGGTGACAAAACCTTGTATCTCAAAAATCATGAATTTTCAGGAGAGCGCCTGTCTCAACAGATTTAGTGCTGTGACACCGTCCTTTGTGTGGAATTTGTGAAAAAAACCGAGACAGGAGGCGTTCCATGGATTTATCAGGTGGTGTCGTAGGCCATTAGGTACAAAATTATACAACAAAAATCAAAATCTCAACAAATTGAGATACGAGGTTTTGTCACCCCACCGACCTATATGTGATAGGTAGGGCAGCGATATGAGTTGCCTTGAAGGGAGGGCAAGCCATATCGCTGCCCTCCCTATCACCATAAATAAGGCATGCAATTCGCATTCTGACTCTCGAGATACAATTATTCGTAACAGGAGAATGAAATGATCCGTATCAAGGTATCGGCCTACTGCACATTATACATTTGGGACTTTTAGATTTGCACAACGACAATGTGGATTGCTACGATCGACGTCCTTTTAATGCATTGGACGTCACACGTGACCGTCGTATCAGTCCATGCAAATCTAAAAGTCCCTATTTACTACCATGTCTGTAGAAGATATAAGGACGGCAACATAGTCGAGTGGTTTAAATGTGTATTGAATTTTGGTAACATTACGAAAATGGCTTATTACAGCCCTTTGTTTCGCGCCTCGGTGGTTCCTTTATTGTCTTGATTCGGCTTTCTGTTCATTCAGGCGATTCACTCTGAAGAGCAGTACGTGGCGTACGCAGGATTTTTTCAAGGGGGGGGGGTTAACATTTTCAATCGGGCCGTAAATGTTTTGGGTTCACCCTTTTGCACAAATTTTTTTTTTAAAAAACGTTTAAATTTTGTTATGTTTTATTCAACAACAAAAATTGAGGGAGGGGGGGGGGGGTTCCATAACAAAAATCACACAAATAAGAAAAATGGAGGGGGGTCACCCCCTCCCCCCCCCCCGCCTCGCTGCGTACACGCCTGCTGAGGAGTATAAGACGACTAAACTACTTCAGTATGTCTGTAGAAGATACGGACGGTGACATAGTCGAGTGGTTCAAGCACTTTACCTGAAATGAAAAAGGCCGTGGGTTCGATTCCTGACATGGTTGTTGTTGTTGTTTGGTATTATCGGCGTTTCATTCTTTTTTTTAAGAATATTTACGCCTTTCACTTTTTTTTCATGGTGTCTGTGGTAAGCCATTAATAGGGACTTTTAGATTCGCACGATGTGGATTGCTACGATCGACGTCCTTTTAATGCACTGCCTTGAATGGACGTCACACGTATCAGTCCACGCAAATCTAAAAGTCCCTAATATACACTTGCCCACGCCGTATACCCAGGAGAGAAATGGGGACCTGGTAGGAAAATACAGCCTTGGTGTTAGTAATTAACGTATGCCCTCGTGGAAAAAACATGGTAGGATACTGCAGGTGGTGAGTGAGTATGAATCCAATGGCCGAGGTTACAATATCTGTAAAGCTCTAAAGAGACACCGTATTTATTAAAGGGATTGTTTATCTTTGTCTCACACTCTGAACAAAATCCTGGATTTAGATCATGCTGCAATCATAATTAAAAACCTTTAGGTCAGTCAGGAATCCCATGACGTTTACAAGCCGATCATCGCACGTCTGATTATCAAGATATTTATGATTGGAATTACAAATTTCAAAATTTGTTTTCACAACGGTTTTTTTTATAACAAAACTACAGTCTATTGGGGAAAATGAGTAGGTAAAACCGGTCACTCAAAGATTTCTACTTTTTGTAGGCACTTCATGATTATTTTGAGCTTCAATATTACACCATGTGTCGATCAGGCGCTGATAACACGAAGAGCTATGCATCTCAAATTTGGCATATAAACAATGCCTTTAAAGATGAAGTTGAGTTCTGGTCATGCGATTGCATTGTGAAAGAAACGATGTACACAGAAAGATGTATATGGGACTACACGAACACGTGGCGTAAAAATCCTACCCCGAGTTTTACGATGTAACATGACATATTTAGAATATGAAGGCATTTGAAGAGCCATGCTTTTCAGGGAACATGTCTTATCTGATGTTCTTCAACACTTGCATAATAAGAATGATAACGCACACACATTATTTTTCACCTCTTCCCAGAACTCAACTTTCTCTTTAAGCGCTATAGAGTACCGTAGTGCTCATTCATATTCGTTCGGCGTCGTCTAGGTTACTGGTTCCAAACAACAACGCCTGCGAATGGTTCACCGCGACATCATTCGAGCAACGGCCTGAAGCAGGGCAAATTAAATGCTTGATGGCGCTTGTGTGATCACCACCATGACGCCATTGTTTAGCACAACCAGCAACGTCGCCAATAGGCCATTTTCGTAATGTAACCAAATTTAATGCATAGGTCTTTGTGAAGTGCCTCAATAGAAATTATTTCATTCACCTGATAAGAATAATAGTATTCAATAGTCAGAATGCAAACTGTATATTTTAAGTGTTTCTAGGTAGGTCAAGCCATAATGTTTGTCCTACCTGCCAACAACTAATGTATGCAGTTCGAATTCTGTCTATTGAAACACTATTATTCTTATCAGGTGAATGAAATAATTTGTATTGAGGCACTTTACAAAGACGTATGCATTAAATTTAGTTACATTACGAAAATGGCTTATTTCGCTCATTTGATTTGATTTGATTTGATTTTGATTTTATTTATTCTTTTCTGCATCTTTTTTCTTTTTTTCATCATACATTTTCATGAACATAATATGGTTTGATACAATATTTTAAGTGTATATAATTTTATACAGATAAACGAAATTAAACAAATATATTGAATGCATAATTAACATACATTAGATGCAGGAGGGCTACAGAAATAAGCAAAGTAGCTTGACGTGCCCGCAGCCCTCAACTTAGAAAGCCTCATGTCCCAGTTTTCAGTTAGTTATTTTTTTATTTATTGAAATGTATTTATACAGGATAAAAACGTGATCAGCAAATGCGTTTTCCATCACGGTTCTGTTAAATACAAAAGTAAACAAAATAATCGAAAGGTAATGCAAAGTTTTGGGAAATTTTGAAATTTGGATGGATAGTAATCCTTTAAAATTTGATATATGTGGATGCCCCTGTGGATGTATCATAAGCACTAGAAATTTTAGCCCCTAAAACATTTCTGCTTTCGAGAAATTGAATAATCAAAAATATATATTTCCAAACGGAAATAGCAAATCTGTCGATTGTTATCAAGAAACATTGTTATAAAGCTAAAGTAATATCAGACTTGAGAGGTATAGTCTATACCACTTACTTTATGCTACGGTCACAAAAGTTTGTATACGAACGATAATTTCGTACGAATCTCCCTGTTTTTTCATTGTCTTCCCGAATTTCCATTGTCTGAAAATCGTTTGTACGGCGTTTGTAGCAGTTAGTAATGGCATTTGTGACCGAGGCTTTAGACTCGATTGCAACCGCGACAACGATCATTGAATATCGTAAAATCGCATATGCTTCCAATATGTTAAAGGTAATACAAAGTTTTGGAAAATTGGGTGGATAGTGAATCTTTACAATTTTGATATATTTGGATGCCCCTGTGGATGTATTATAAGCACTAAAAAAATTAGCCCCTAAAACACTTTTGTTTTCGAGAAAAATTGAATATAAAAATTTACCGGTGCTCCCGGTAAATTTTGATAAATTTCAAATAGCGCCTATGGCGGTACAATGGTAGCTGCGACCATGAAAATCTCAGAATATGTAGTTGGGATATATATTTCCCAAACAGGAATAGCTAATCGGTCGATTTTAGTCAAGAAACATTGTTTCATAGCTAAATTAATATCTTGACCTTGAGAGGGGGCTATACAACATTAAGAGTTTATTATTTATAATTTCATAACTTTAGACTCGATTTCAACCGCGACAACGATCAATGTATGTTGTAGGAACGCATATGCTTCCAATATGTTAATTTGAACCAAATTCATGACCCCATACCAAAACTTTGTAATACCTTTAATTTGAATAAAATTCGGAAAAAACCTGAAGAATCATACCGATCATTGAAACAACAAGGAAACCACTACCACCGACTCGGGATGAACAAGATGAAGGGGGAAGAAGAAGAAGAAGAAGGAGAAGATTGAAGAGAGGGAAGAAAATCATTTGAAAAATAGCTTTTTGTACATGTATTTAAAAACATTTATGGATGAAGCATTTTGTAGGTAATGAGGGAGATTATTCCATACCTGTGAACCAGAAAACATAAAGGACCTTTCAAAACATTCATAGCCACTGCTCCAAAATCATGGAACAATCTCCCCAATTTTGTACAAACTGCTGATTCTCTAATGACTTTCAAAAAACACCTCAAAACACACTTGTTTAACTAATGCCCGCTTACCAGCATTTGT